CGCCAGCAGCGCCAGCGAGTCCGACGGCGTCACGAAGAAGGCGTCGCGCCCCACTATCATGTTGCGGTCTCCTGCACACCGCACAGCCCACAGCCCACAGCCCGCTTCAATATCTCCACTCTCTCTCGACCGCACACGAGACAGGCGTCAAGTGGAACCAATTACGCATACATTTGATAAGTGAGGTGCCGAAGGCCTACATTTAGTTCCTTTTTCACATCACCCTTTCTTATGGATAGGAAAGTAAAGTAGATTTGAAGGCAGAGGAAGGAGAAATATCCCGTTTATGTGCGTCTCCTCTGTCGTCGATTAAAAATACCAACGCATCTGTAATATCTGATGTCTATGGGCAGCGGCCGCTTCGCCATTTCGACGGAATCAGGTGGCCACTCGCTCGTTTGCCACCTTATAGTAAAAAAATACATCATCCTAAACAATACGCACACACAACAATATACAGCTACTGAAATATCTGAAAAATCTAGACTCACCGTCACCGTCGAAAGCCGCGCCGAAGTCATAATCGCCGTTCTTGATCTCATTGACGAGGTCTGCGGCGTACGTGAGGTTGGGGTCGGGGTGCGCGCCGCCGAAGTCCTGCAGCGGGGTGACGCGCCGCAAGCTGCCCTCCCCAGCGCCCAACTCCTCCAGGAAGATGCGTCTCACGTACGGACCCGTCACTGAATATACCATTATTACTCTACAAGAGCCTGTCCCACCACTGGCCGATAGAGCCTCAGTTAGCTTAAAAATGGTGTCACAGTCAGATAAGATAACAAATTCCGATTTTATCAGACAATTTGGAAATATTTGGTAGGACTGAGTCTAACTCTTGCATTTTAAAATATCCTCCAACAGACTCGAAGCATACCTCCACTCATAGAATCGATAAGCACTTTGAAGGGTTTGCGCTGCTCGGAGCCCTGCAGCAGTGTACGTATCTTGGAGAAATCGAATATCTCCTTCATGTAGTCGACATAATCCCGCACAGAATCTATCACCTCCACTACGAACTCACGATCTGCAACCTGGTAATGTTCAACATGAAATAGGAACAACACAAACCATTAACATATTATAATACAAAAAAAACTTGTGTGAAATATACCTTGAAAGTCTGCACACCGATGTTGTCAACCGAGCAGACAAGATCAGGCACTAACTTGTACTGCTGTATGGTGGTGGTGAGCTGATAGATGTTGTCGGTGATGCCATCGGGCGCAGGCCCACCATTACTGCAGTTGAACTTGATGCCAAAGTCATTGTCAATGCCACCCGGGTTGTGTGACGCTGTTAGTACTATACCACCTACAAATTTCACTCAATTGAATATTATTCCAATATTGAAGTACCTTGATTTATTCAAACATTACAACTCTTTTTTTTTTGTAAATAGATATCATTTGACAGTGGAAATGGTTGGCTAGCATGTTTCATACATTTTTTTGGCATTATTGTAGACCATAAAAAATGAATAGCCATATTTTATGTTATCAATAATTTTTTTGGCCTATATAATAAAAACCCATGTGGTTTGGCTAATAGATAAAAAATTATCTATCAGTCGCTAAAAATGTTAAATCATTATATTTTTGATATAAATCAGAGTTGAAGATAAATATAAAATGATGCAATGATAAAAGCAATGTAATTGTATTGACTCATTGGACTTCATGATGAATAATGTTTATATTCTTAATATGTTTATATAAATTAATTTATTTAAAAAATGCAACAATTATAGATATACATTGTACTAACTTAGGGGGTCTATCACAATTATTTTCATGATAGATCCAAGAACATATTTTTAATGTTAATAACGAAATTTGTATGAGTTTTTTTGATGTACTTTACTCAGTACCTGTACAAATTAGTGATGTGCCAAGTTGAGAAAAACGTAACTTGATTTAACTCGAGTTAAAATCCACATAACTCGGGTTGAACTCAAGTTACGTAACTCGAGTTAACTGGATGTACAAGTAAATGTTTTTTTGAGTTTTTCCTAATTATTCCCTCGGCTTGGCATAAAATTCGAATAGACAAATTATATTTTTATCTGTTTCAATTCTTTATATTTTATATTATTTACTTATAACGTATTGGGTGAGTTTTACCTACTAAGTAAAGAAACGACGATTCTTTTCTTGATGGTACCAAAATTTTGTCATGAATATTTGTGACATTCTAAGGAGAATATTTCAATGTTTTTGGACATTAAAATAGAGTAAAAAATGCTCATAATGGACCTTAACAATAGTAATTGGTGGTCCTTCAAATGTTGTTAGAACCTGTATGTACAGTACTTGCCAAGTCATCCCAACTTCACAAATATAATATGTGATAATTATGAATGTAATTTACCCAATGTTTTATATTTCCTTATTATGCAAGAAACAGCAGGTGTGGAGAGGAGACCGTTTTGTCCAATCAATAGTTTTCCCACCTGGAAAACATAATTATTGCATTTAATATTTCCTAAAGACATTTGCATTTCATTCAAGCTATATTTTAAGTGTAATATTTACAGATATATGTTTTTATAATATAGTAAGAGTTTATTTAAATAATGTATACGTACCCCATTACCAGCACAGATCTTGATAATTTTGTCCACCACTTCCTTGACAAGGTATCTTCCATCACCTCCAACAACTAACGTGCACCCCTCTAGCGACTCTTTATTTGCATTTAAAATACTCTGAATAAAGTTTTCTGTGTAATTATTTTGTAGGAAAACCTTGACTTTTTTTCTGAGACCGCTTGTTCCCGGTTTTTGTCCCTCGTAAGGGTTTGTATTGACCGTAACTACATTTAACATTTTTTTTAATATTCAAAGAGACTTCTCGACACTCGGAAAAGTTATGGTTGTGTTGTTCGTAAAACAGTTATAATATTTACGTTATCGGAGTTCGCAAGGTCAATACTGCGAACTGTAACCGCAAAGTTATAAACTTATAAAAAAGTTGTACTACATCTGTCAAATCAAAGTCAAACAAGGTCGAGATAACAAGACGTTCCATTTTAAGTAATATTTATCTATTGTTTAAGTTTATGAAATAAAATGAGTTAATTAGTCATAAAAATAATTAAAAGGCAAAACAAAAAACATTTGCGACTTAAAAGTGGAAAGAAAAAAGTGTAGGGTTTTTATCGTGTCTGTATACTGTGTCATGTTTGTCGAAATTTAAATGAATCATGTAACAACTGTAATGTACAATATAAAGTATAGATGGCGTTTAACTTTAGTCAAAGTAGTATTTTATTTTATTTTAAGGTCAGTTTCTAAGTGAAAGATCGATCTCTTGTTTTTACAAATTTGAACTCCGGAAAACTCAGAATAGCTTGATGACAAAAATTCTGTGTGCAATTTATAGAGTTCAATAGCGTGATATGAACTATGACAGGCTGTTGTTATATGTATTTTTCAATCTAGTTATGAGAAAACTTAGCCAGCGAGGGCGATAGCTCAAGATTAGAGATTACATTCGTCACGCTCACGCTAAGCAAACTTTCTCCACAACTAAATGGTGCTGGAATTGCTTTAACTGCATAATAATATTTTCACATTTTAAACATATCTATTTCAAAACAATAAGAGGTCTACATTCACTCCATATTCTATTTTAAAAATAACATTTACAACAAATATTGAGAAGTTAGAGCAGTGATTTTTTTTTACCACATTTTTAACTTTTCTTACGAAGCCGAAATAGCTCAGTTGGGAGAGCGTTAGACTGAAGATCTAAAGGTCCCTGGTTCGATCCCGGGTTTCGGCAACTCTCTGTTTTGGATTGTGAAATACCAACATACCGCAATCAGCGACAAAGTTTACAACATTTTGCTACATTTTTCAAAAGATGGGTAAAATAATTACAACTTGAAAGTAAATTTTACAAAAAATGGCACTTCCCGTACCGGGAATCGAACCCGAGCCTCCTGGGTGAAAGCCAGGTATCCTAGCCACTAGACCATACGGGATTATGACGGATGAAGAAAATTTAAATTAAGTTTATAAATCCAAATACATAGAGATTTATCATATCGATTTTTCTACTTTCTTGCGTCTTTTACAAACATATAATGCATACTTACGCAATCTTTTATAGTTACCCTTTAAAATGTACTGTTATTGTTATGATTTAACTTTAAGTAATAAGGTCTCCACAACGAACTCTGAGGAAATAACTAATTAAAGGTAGAGTTTCACTTTCATCTAAACAAGTTTTGACAACAATATTCATAAGATACAGTTCAGTAGTGTATCAGTGTAGCGTGGCGAGTAGGCGCGGTGCGCGCGGCCGCCAGCAGCTATAGCGTTATTTATTATTTTTCCAATGTGCTACTGACAGGTGGTCTCACAAGCAACAACGGAAGATTCAAGGTTAGTCTTATAAGTTGCATTTATTTTATTGTTGTAATTAAAAATGGCTTTATGATTTTTTTTATCTTTTAATTTTCGACTAAATAGTCATGGCCTAAAATTTAAAAAAAAAACGAACCATAGACAACATGGAGCAAAACTAAAAAAAAAAACTTTATTAAGAAATGCAAATAATTTATTTAATAACATCATTATTTTTACTATGTGTGTTTTCAGAATGTTAAAATTTAAATCTTCCTAACTACGCAATTTCGAAATGGTTTTGATTTTCCGATATTTGCTGCGAATATTTAACAAGTTCAGAGTACAATTTTTTGCAGTGTCATGGTTTCATATGTAATTATACATTCAACACTGAATTAGGTAGAATGGTAACTTTTTGTTAAGAAATAAATAATCTTTAGTTCACTAGTATATCCGTATAAGTAAATAAAGTGAAGAATGTATCCCTTTTTCACCGACTTCGCAAAAGAAGGAGGTACTCAATTCGTGTGTTTGTTTTTTTTTTTAAGATAAATGTTTTAACAGATCAACGTAAGACACATAAGTCAATGAGAATAAGAAGTGTATAAAACCTATCTTTATTTAAATAAGGATCTTCGATGATGAGTTATGATCGAATTTCCGTCCACCGCCTGGACAAATAATCAGAAGAATCATAAGAGATGAAACAACATTTTTGGTTATTGTGATTATCGATTTCACTCAGATTAATAGCACACTAAGCTTTCCAAGACTAATTTCAAAACAAAATTAGAATTCATATATGTAAACATCGTATTTAATTGGCAATATATCATCGTGTATAGGCAACTTGGTTTGGTTTGAGCAACGCTTTAGTAAGTGGCTTGAGTCTTGAGGCGTGCGGTTTGTTCACCTCGTTGCGCAAACGTTATGCATTCACAATCACATGGGTATCTAGCGAGTAGCTACAGATATCGTTGTAGTGTACTAGTGGTTACAGGTTTCAGTAGTCGTAGTCATCAGAGCACAGCGGGTTCATTAGCCCCGGACATCTAGTTGAGGTTATAAAAGACTCGTTCTAGGTCCCTGCTTACAATGCTGAATCTAAACTTAAAAAGTTAAAATTTACAAACGCACTTTTTTTTAGACATTAAAATAATTGTAACAACAATTAACTTTAATACTTAAACTGAGATTTCAGCCAGAATGGCGCGCTTATTCCGACTTCTAATTGACAGTGACAGATGTCGTAGGGACGGACATTTATGCCGACGATCTAGTGTTGCGCCGATCTTTTCTTAACACATTTAAATAACTCATGTAACACCACAAGCGCGCCGCTAAGTTCCACCAGATGGATTATGAAATCAAATTGATTACAAAACATTTTTTTGCTTGATACTTATCGTGTTAAAACCCGGAATATTTTCTATTACACAATTAATAGGTACAGTGCCGTCGTTAAGGTAGGGCAGGGATGGCAACCGCTTAGGGCGCTGACAGAAAGCACACCGGGCGGATTACTCTCAGAAAATACTCAAAACCGAGACTTCCATGGTTCGCGAACAAAGGCATTGTAGAAATCTCTCCCAGGGCGCTAGTAGAGTTACAACCATATCTTGTACGACGCTCGTATCTGTTATATTTTCTTATGTGAGAAAAAATTAAATTTGCGAGTTTAGATAAAGGAAAAAATGGTGATGAACACAAATCGATGTTAATCATAACTAGAGAAATATTCAGACTCTCATTATCATCGATCTCTTACTTATAAACTATTCGGTATTGTTTTTAATGCTCAATGTTCGTGATCCTCTGACCCACCGACTGATTGTCGTATCGCATATTAAAAGGTGAATTGTTAACAGCAACAAATGCAATTGATTTCATTCGTAAATATTCATTCATGCAGTTTATCTTTCTGATAATAGTGTCCGAGCAGTTATCAGTAGTTTGTGAGTATATTATACCTACTCAAATTTTCAAATTTGTTCACAATGTATTTTGCTCTAACAAATATAAACAAAAACTTAAGTTAAGAATATTTAATTCAATTGTGCCTTGACTTGTGGCACGGCGCGGCCTTGGACTCGAACTTTGTACCTCACGGCGCGCCGTCGAGTGCATCACAAGCTGTACTTGGTACTTACTTATTCATAATTATACTAAGTAACTAATAAGTGTATGATTAGTTACTTAGCAGTGATATTAGTTAAAATAAAGTTGTACAATGTTAAGGAGCTAAAATTGTTGTAATTAAGTACAAATTCTATCTTAACATTTTTTGACTTAACATTAAAAATCTGCAAATTTTGCCATTAAATCAACATAGTTATTATTTGTTCCAGACTTCCAACCCAACAAGCGCAGTTTCATGAGAAAATGTCAACAAAAGATTCTGCAACTATTCTAACGACTGTAATCGTTTATCTTCGTCTCTTTCTTGACAAAATGTTAGACTTCCTGTTCTCATTGTACTGGGACGACAAGAAACAGTTAATCCCAGACCTGGACAAGAGGCACAGCATCCTCGCGGAGAGTGCGGTGTCCCTCGCCAGGAGGATCAAGGCCAAGGAGCTTAAGTCGGAGGACCTGGTGCGAGCTGTTATTGAGAGAATAAAAGAGGTAACTTTTTTATCATCTAAAAGACGTAGCCGGTCTTTTCTTTATAAAATTAACTTGGCTCAGTTCTTTGTCGTCAATTTTAATGAACTTATGAGAATACAAATGACACATGCAGGTGAATCCTATCATCAACGCGATAGTGAGGGACCGTTACGAAGCCGCGCTGGAGGACGCTAGGCAGGTTGACAACCTGGTCGCCGCCGGACTCTCTGAACAAGATGCTAACAAACCATTCTTGGGTAACATTTTAATTCATTGATAGATACAATCAGCTTAAACAATACTTCAAAGGAGAGTGCGTAACTCATTTTAAGAAGGTTTCGTAGTTGACAGGTAACATAACTTCCCAGGTGTGCCGTTTACGACAAAGGAAAGCCAAGAGATAAAAGGGTTTTGCAACACGATAGGGCTGTGGTCGCGTCGCAACATCGTGTCCACCGAGGACAGCGACGCTATTCTGTTGCTAAAGAGGGCCGGCGCCATCCCTCTCGCCGCTACCAACCTGCCAGAGCTGCTCATATGGTCAGTTATCGGTTTTCTAATGAGCTAACAATTTACGGCGAAATGTCTTATTTCATATTGTTTGTAACGATCAGGCAGGAAACCCGTAACCCGGTGTACGGCATGACGCTCAACCCACACCACACGGGCCGCACGCCGGGGGGCTCCAGCGGCGCGGAGGCTGCGCTCTGTGCCACGTATGCCACACCCATCAGCCTATGTTAGTGTTACATGTTTCTTAAAAAAACGTAAGTATCATTAACACTAATTATAATGGCATGTTTTGTGCAATCAAGGTTCGGATATTGGCGGCTCGACACGCATGCCAGCCTTCTACTGCGGTATGTTCGGACACCATCCTACCGCCGGCATCACTAGCATCAAAGGTAATCTCATTAAGTTATTGAGCGAAATTATGACTTACAAGGCAATAACCGTATGATACGTATTTCTTTCAGGTGTGTATCTCCGCAAGGGTGACGAGGGTGACACGATGTTCTGTCTGGGCTTCATCTCGCGGCGCGCGGAGGACCTGGCGCCGCTCACCCGCGTCATCGCCGGGGACAAGGCGCACCTCCTCAACCTCGACAAGGATGTCAACATTAAGGTGAATTATTATGGTACTGTAAACTGTTCATCCATGGAAAGCATGTTGTAGTTATTATCAATTATTTGTTCGTAGGACATCAAATTCTTCTATATGGAGTCGGCCAACGATCGCCTCGTCAGCCCAGTCCGGGTCGAGATGAAGAACGCCATGCAGAGGTAATAACTCATTCATCTTATTATATCAAAGTAGAATTATCCATTCTTTCTATACTTTTAAAACGTGTCGTTTCTATTATCAGAGTGGTGAGCAAGTTGAGCGAGGAGGCGGGCGCTCCGCAGCAGTACTCGCACGCGGGCTTCCGCCACATGTACCGGCTGTGGAGCTACTGGATGTCGCGCGAGCCTGACGACTACTTGGCGCTGTACGGGGACGGCCAGCGACCGAACGCCTTCCTAGAACTCGCCAAGAAGGTTTGTTACACTACGCACCAGAATTACTGACTTCTTTAGATATAAATAAACCAAGTGTTGGCGTATATTGTAGTGTGTGGGCATGAGCCACCACTGCCTGTTCACCATCCTGCGGCTGTTTGAACTGAAATACTTGCCGAGTGTCGACGCCGCCTGGGCTGAAAAAATCACCAAGGAGATGAAGGAAGATCTATTCGTGAGTCCACACTATTACAAGTATAGTTTTGACGAAATTTGATCGTTCCTAAGGGTAGGTTACTATTTGAGGGTGTAATCGCAGGGCAAGCTGGGTGACAACGGAGTGCTGCTGCTGCCCAGCAGTCCGCACGCGGCGCCCTTCAACTACTCGGCTGTGCTGCGACCATTCAACTTCTCCTACTTTGCTGTCGTCAACGTGCTCAAGTGTCCGGCCACACAGGTTCGTTAGAGTTACAGCTTTATTGAGCAATGCGACGTAGCGAGCTGCAAGATTCATTTCTGTGTTAATGGTGGTACCTATAATCCTAACTATTGTTAGATATTTCGTCACAAATGACTTCCTTTAAAATATAGAACAACACTTGTACACCACTTTAAAACCAATTCAACTCCAAGGCGACAACGCAAAAACCAACATTCCGTGGTGACGACTAGAGAAACGCTGAGCTTATTGGCGACTGAGAGCTGAGACTGCAACTGAGCGCCACTCCTTGCCAAATATTCTATAAAACTACTCCATTACTTCCGTTTCCTAATATTTTCCCAACAATGTTATTGTTTTAAATAAAGATAAACGGTATTGATAAATAGCACAGATTTACAAATAACTTTTAAGAATACAGAATATATCAAAATAGTTAGAATATTAACACTATATAGATTAGTATAGTGTAAGGTGTGGTGCAGGTGCCGCTGGGTACAAACAGCGTGGGTCTGCCGATCGGCATTCAGGTGCTGGCGGCACCGCACAACGACCGCCTGTGCCTCGCCGTCGCCAAATACCTGGAGAAAGAATTCGGAGGAGCTATCATGGCCTGTAAAGTTAAAACTTAATGTATTTTGTTATTAAGTAAATAAATAAATTAAGTATTCAAGTTTTTTCTTTAAAAGTTTTTCTATTTTAAATAACACCCTGCTATTTATGTTCCTTTGGTATTAAATGGGCGTTGATGATTTCTCGGCGGTTATGAACTGATGCTAAAAAAAATACAGTCAAGACGAATTTGGATTTGCTTATTTCTGTATTAATTTGATACACACCGAGGCAAGCGACGGCAAAACAAAACTGTATAAGGTCAATAACCGCGCGCTTCTGCAGTATTTCCATTATGAATAATTAAGCGATTATGCAAATAACTTGACCTAGTGTCGGATATTTGATTTTATATACTACATATTCGCGCAGCTTTGTCTTCTGCGTAAAGTAAATTAATAACCAACGTAATATATACATGGTAAGTATTAGAATTCACAGACTCTTCTCAGAAACTGGTTCGGAATATTTAATACTGATTTAAATGTTCATTTCAAATAATTATTTTTACCACTTTTATAAGTCGTGTCCTTCAAAAGTTTGAGCCTACTGCTTAAAAACTTGAAATGTAACAAAATATAAAACAAGTAAACACATAAGTTTCTTGTTGTAATGTAGCTGGTAGTGAGTTGCACTTTTACGTATTCCGTGTGCGATGTCCACGCAGTGTGAACGTGTCGTAAACATTCAGTGCAAAAAGGATAAGCTCTTACAGGTAAGTGTTTGGTTGGTGTTTTTATATGATTTTAACTTAAATAAAATAGCGTCAATATTTACTGGAATAATTTTAGTTCAACAAGTTTGTTATAATTTTAATCTGTAAAATAAAATTCGGAAGTGACGTCAATTATGACATTGACAATTAGTGATTATTTCGAAACAAAATAAAAGTTTTGTTTTGCAAACATTATTTTTGCTTTCGTATAATTTACTATAAATACTATTTCGTTTAAATTACTATAACTAAGTGAAAGTGACATACTTAAGGAAAGAAAGTGTAAGCACGTTGAGTAGCGGTCTGATAGATAATATTGGAAAGAGTATTTATGTTCTAATTTATAATTATATTTTTGCAGTTCCGAACTACAAAACCTAATAAAATATTCGAAGGGATGGCATCCGAAATGTTCAAGCAAATCTTTCTTCTTTTCCGGACATATTTCGACATGTTTATAGACTTTATATTCTCATTATATTGGGAGAGACATCGACAAGCGATCCCTAGTTTAGAAAAGCGACATAGTATGCTGTCTGAAAGTGCTGTTAATTTAGCTTCGAAGATACGTAACAAAGAATTGAAATCGGAAGAATTAGTTCAGGCCTGTATTGAGAGAATAAAAATAGTAAGTATTATATGTTATGTCTTTTGAATGACACACAATTTAATTTGTACAGATAAACATACTTTAACAACATATTTAGTCAAATAATTCAAGTTTATGAATTTACATTTGTATTCAAATATTTCTGTTGTGAATGTTTAAAAACAACCAGTTTGTTAATTGATTTCAGTCAACCATTTTTTTAGTACATGTACTTAGCATTAAAATAATTATTCCAGTCATGGACAAAAACAACTATGAAACCAGTAGTCTTCCACTTGTTTGCAACAAAAATTTTCCATCACAAATACTTTGGTTTTGTTGAATGAATTTGTTTATATTGGGGACCACTTTCTCATCTCATGATAACTTGACATAAAAAAAACTTGTTTACTTATACATATTGTGGAAACATATACATCCTTGACCAAATTATTTATTTTTTTAAATATTTATTGGTACTATTTTTTAACTCAAATGTAAGGATTTGAATTATTAATAACTAGCTTTTACCAGTGACTTCATCCGCGTGTATTTAAAAAAAACAAAAGTGAGTAGCCTGTGTGTTCTTCCAAACTATCCTCTACATATATACCAAATTTCATCAAAAACGGTTCAGCTGTTTAGGCTACAAGCTCTAACGAACATCCATCCATCTAAACTATTGCATTTATAATATTAGTATGATTAAAAATAAGATTTTTATTCACACCTTTAGTTTTAATAATAAGCATAAATGGTTTTTAATATCAATATAATTTTAAGATATATAGAACATTTTTTGTTTGTTTAAACACATAATAAATTAAGTAAACAAAAAATGATTCATGCATAAATTACCATGTCATTGTTAATAGGCACTTCTGGTTTTTTAATCTGTGAAGTGTAAATGGAAAACAAGTTTTAGGCATTAAATATGTAGTAATTGGATGAAAAATTTATTATGTTGATGGCCTTCGTTGGTTTTGTAAAAACAAACATAAAAATTACTTCATATTTCTTTTATCTGTAAACAGACATAATATTTCTTTATTTATTTCAATTATTTTTAGGTTAACCCGATATTAAATGCAGTTACGGACGAGAGGTTTGATGATGCTTTGGGGGAGGCGCGGGAGGTCGACAAATTGATTGAAGCTGGACAGGCTGACTTTGAGAATCAACCATTTCTGGGTCAGTTACATAGCTTACATTTATTATATCATAAGGTGGCAAACAAACAAGTGGCTACCTAAAGTCGCCGTAATGGCGAAGCGACAGCTTTACACAAACAACAAATAGAGTTTCATTACCTATGTTTAATTGACTTGGGAGTGAATGAAAAACAAAAAGGAGGGTATTCACCTTCATCTGACGATGGATTGACTTCTACTTCACAGCTATCTTCTGTGCTTATATTATATGTGTCGACTAAACAACCCTTTTTATGGACTTTTGACATCGTGGAGGCGGTCTCAGCAATGATACTTTTCCAGCTTGCAAGCTGCGCTTCAGCTCCTTAAGTCAATTAGATTGGCCTTTCGCCGGACTTGTTCAGCACGCCATAATTTATATGTTATATGTGTGCAATGTGACATTAGTGGCAGTGTATGATGTGATGGTGTGTCAGGTGTGCCGTTCACCGCGAAGGAGAGCCACGCGGTGCGCGGCATGCTGCACACGCTGGGCATCGCGCGGCGGCGGCGGGCGCGCGCGCCGCACGACGCCGAGTGCGTGCGGCTGCTGCGCGCCGCCGGCGCCATCCCGCTCGCCGTCACCAACGTGCCAGAGATCAACAAGTGGTGAGTGCGTCTCACCACTTGTGTTCCTAGCTTACGTCCAAGTGGAATTATAAAAAAATAATATTATGTGTTCTTCCAGACTATCCTTTTTCAATTGCATATTAGGCCTTGCTATTGGCTGAAATGTTACCATGCTATTAATTCTTTGCTGCTATTGGTTTGTAGTTTGTCTCTTTCTCACGAACAGGTTTTTTTTTGTTATTTATTAACTCCCGTTTTTAATAATGTGAAAACAAATAGCCTAAAGTGTGGCATAAGTGTAGGTATATATACTTAAAAGAGAACTAATTCAAAAATATGCTGTGATTTCTGATATCTTACATGAAGAGTGTGTTTTTAGATCTAGATAAATTAAAGTTTGTTCACTATGTGTGTGTCAGGCAGGAGACGCGCAACATGGTGTTCGGGCAGACGTGCAACCCCTACCACACGGGCCGCACCGTGGGCGGCTCCAGCGGGGGCGAGGCCGCCCTCGCCGCCGCGCTCGCCTCGCCCATCTCACTCTGTCGGTCACACTCCGCTCTCTGCTCTTCTCTTCTTAATATCACAATATTAATAGACACTATAATGTGTATTGAATATGCAGGTTCAGACATCGGGGGGTCGACGCGCATGCCGGCCTTCTACTGCGGCCTGTTCGGCCTCAACCCCACCGCCGGCACCACCAGCCTTAAAGGTGCACTTGCGGAAGTTCTCTTAACTTTTGTTTCTTAAACTTAAACTGTTACCCCTAAGGATCCTCGCCGAATGAAAAATGTTACAACCTGTATAACCTCAAGTCTTTGTCATGTGTACTATCAGTAATAAAAGTGTTATTTCAGTATAATAAACAATGATATATTGAAAAAAAAAACACACAAAAACAACACAATGCATAAACTTGATAACTTAAGTTCAAGAACTCACGACTTTGTGTGCTTCTTGATAATTTCTTTAATAATTGTCGTCACGACTGTAAAATATTATAAAGTATGTTATATTTTTCTCAGAGACATGTAGTTATATTTGAGTATTGACGTGTGTCAGGGTCGGCGCTGCGCTCGGGGCTGGAGCCGACGATGGCGTCAGTGGGGGTCCTCAGCAAGCGGTGCGCGGACCTCGCGCCGCTCACAAACGTCCTGCTCACAGACTCCGCTCGACTACAGATACAACTCGACACGGAATATCACATCAAGGTCGATAACTTTATTTTTAGATATTTCGATACAAATGGTTTCAAAAAAATATGGACTATCGGCCATACTAACAATACTCGACAAAGTCAACTATACAATGTTCCATAGTGACGACTAGAAATGTACTGTCAGACTGAGCTTTGTACATCTTGCAAGTATTTTATAAAACTACCCCCCACTATACCTTCCGTTTCTTACTATTTCCTAACATATTGATTATGTTATTTCAGTTATTAAGTTACAGCGTCTGTGCCTCAACGGTTTAAGCACATCACTTGTAATTCAACAGCTCCTGGGTTCGAATCCCGCCGTACCAATGTGATTTTTTATTTTCATATGTATATAACTTACCCGACGTCCTTACGAAGTCAACCCGCACTTGGCCAGCGTGGTTGACTAAGACCTAGTCACCCTTAGGGTAGGCTGCAAACCGGGGTAGGGACTTATAGTAAGCTGGGGATGTATTTCAGTTATCATTAAAAAGATTTGTTTCATTGACAGGATATAAAGATCTTCTACTGCAAGTCTGCGCCGGACCTCAGAGTCAGTCCGCTAGACAAAGATATGCGACAAACTATGGACAAGTTAGTATACAATACCATAATGTACTGCTTTCGTTGTTTGTTCTTATTTTATAACTAGCTGACCCCGTGCGACTTCGTCCGCGTGAAATTATGAAAATTTTATTTTATTGTTTACATGTGTCAAATTTTCAATAGCATATGTCAAAATGACATGACACTATAACAATCTTGCTTCCTCGCTGTTGGCAGCAACTTATGGACTCTTTCCCACTTTAGGGTTTTTATCCAAAACATTTACCCCCTAAGTTTAATGGCGTGAATATACAGCCTAAAGCGTGGCGTAACTATATGGCTTTTCATTAAAGAAAGAATTATTTAAAAAATATGCTGTAATTGCTGACATCTTAGGCAACAAAGAAGTCTGTGTTTACGCTTTGTTATAATAGTATAAGTGATCAAAAAGTTCATAATCATATGCATGCTTTTTATAATTAATTAAAAACTTGGAAGAAAACCAAACATAAAACTAAAAAATTATATAAAACCGCAATAACTTTCTTGTGACTGAAACACGGCCGGAGTGTGGCGGAGTGTTGTGACGTCAAACAACAAGCTATTTGATTGGTTCTTAGTGACAAAAAGTCAAAAAGTGATTAAACCCATATATAACTTGCTTCGACCAATAGCGTTGCGTTTTATAACTTGGCGAGTTTATAAAAAAATACACTTTTTAATTACTAAATTTCGCTACTAAATAATATAAAAAAAACTATGTTTTTATTTTAATAAAGTATACAAAAAAATATTCCGATTGCCGTCATATTATATATACAATATTGTCTTATTGCAGGGTGTTGTCTGCGCTGAGGGAGGATGGTGCAGGGGGAGCTGGGGGTGCGCGGGAGTACGGGCACCCGGGGCTGCGGCACATGTACTCGCTGTGGCGGCACGCCATGGCGCTGGAGGCCGACAGCTTCCCGCAGCTGCTCACCGACAACCACGGCCATGCCAACGGAATACTGGAACTTGTTAAAAAGGTCACACATCTTGCAACATCGACCATCACCAATTTACTGATATGCTACTTCTTAAATAACTAAATATACTAGACCAATTCTCCAATATTCAGACACGTTTAGGTACTAAATTACTCAGTACTCGACTAAATTATTGGTCTGGTGCAAATCATAAATGGTATATTGAAAAAGCTACTGAGAAGTTAGGGATAATGTATAATAGAACAGTGTAGATTGTTATTCTTTTGAAATAAATTAAATTTTCTAGTTTCATTTTCAATCTTTGCGGTGTTAATGTACTGTAAGTCAGTTTGAACCGGTTATAACTGGTGTAAACTACTTCAAACTGGTGTTAACCGGTTATAACTGTTCTGAGAGTGAAGTATTGTTTCTTTCAGGTGGTAGGCGTGTCCGCGTACACGCTGGCCGCCATCCTGAAGCTGCTGGACGAGCAGGTGCTGCCCGCAGTGGACCGCGACTGGGCCGACAGGACCACAAAGGACCTCAGGGAGGACCTCATTGTAAGAATATTAACTTACAAACTTAAAAATAAACATAACTATAGACGAATGTTGTCTTTGACCCGATTGACTTCAACCAGATATGACATTTTACTAACAACTGTCAATGTCAAAAAGTCACATTTTTGTTTTTTCCTTGTGTTACTTTTAGTTTTAATTGACTGCGATATCATTTCGTCGGTGTAGATGTTGTTGTTTTTGAATGTAAGGTACTAATAAGTCGATTTAGATTTCATTTTATTCCAATGTCGAATAAAATGAACTTTTAATTATCTGTGATAAGAGATCAAAATTTATTTTGTTTCTAGTTTAAAGTATGTCATTTAAGTATAGTGAAAAGTTTGTAGTTTTTTTTAAGTAGTGCCACCTTTTTTTTTCCATACATATATGTTCATAATGTTAAGTACTGTTCCAGCGCACCCTGGGGGAGGAGGGCGTGCTGCTGTTCCCGAGCGCGCCGGCCGCCGCGCCCTACCACTACTCGCTGTACCTGCGCCCCTTCAACTTCTCCTACTGGGCGCTGCTCAACGCGCTGCGGCTGCCCGCGCTGCAGGTCTGCTCCGCACTGCTGCCTGCTGCCTGCTGCCTGCTGCCTGCTGCCTGCTCCCTGCTCCCTGCTGCCTGCTCCCTGCTCCTAATGCGTTGTAAAACACTCCGGATGTGACTGACCACATAACTACGTTGTTTTCTTCTCTTATAATTTGCACTCCTTAATTTCGCCTCTAAAATCACTGCTTTCTTATTTTTTGGGATTTGGTTGAATTTTCGATGGACAAATCTTACACAAAAAATAATTAACGAAATAAGTACTATTTATACAAATCTCATTCTATAAATTACGTTAATATTTTAAATGAATAATATTTGATCAAATGCTGCGCCTATTTTTATAGCGCCATCTAGTGACCTCACAGGAAAACTATGAAAATGAATTAAAATATCCCCTCTAATTGAGTGTAAGAGTGTATTTGTGTGGTGTCGGCAGGTGCCGCTGGGGCTGAGCAGCGCGGGGCTGCCGCTGGGGCTGCAGGTGGTGGCGGCGCCGCGGCGGGAGGCGCTCTGCCTGGCCGTGGCGAAGCACCTCGAGGCGCGCTTCGGGGGCTTCGTCCCGCCCTGCGCCGTACAACACTGATACCACACAGACTGAAATAACTTACGATATTAATGTGTTTTGGGCAAGAAAAGTCGGTATTATTCTTGTTTTTAGTACAACAAATGTAAAAATATCTTATTTGTTGGCTTTATTGTTAGTTAAAACTGGTGTATGTTATGTTGTAAGAAAAGTGATATAAAATTTGTTATTTTTTCCAAATTGAATATGTAATTGAAATGTGTACTGTGATATCTAAATGTTGGACTCGAATATTCAATTATTATTATAAACTGTGATCTCTGTTTTGTCAAAAATAATATATTTCCAGTGAATATTTTCCTATTTTAAATATATTTTTATAAAAGAAATTTAGACATGTTGTCAAATAAAGTAATTATTTCGAGGCTTATTAATTCCAAAGTGTTTTAAAGAACTTTTAAAATTAAAAATAATTGTAAAATATGACGATGTCAATTATATATGAAACTATTTTTATATAAAAATAACGGTAGCATTATTGTGGACTGTTTTGTATAATAATCAAAGGTTAAGGGAATTATTATCTATGAATAAATAAAATTAAATATGAAATGTTTTTTATTAACCTGGTTACATTAAAACATCTAAAAACCTTAGAACGAGTTTTAAAATTATGGATGAAAAAGTTTGGATTTGTTATAAGTGTAAGAATTTTGAAAATGTAGGAGTACTAAAAATTATCTTTAACGTATTAGCGTCTTAGAAGCTCATTATTTGAAATCATCAAGAAGACAAATACAATCTCATGTTGAAAAGATTCAAATCAAATTTACGAGGTTTATGTATGCTAAAGAACATCAATATCGCCTTGGCTCCTTAACTGGGAAAACCTGTTTAAAGAACCAATAACTTCCTTTTCAAATACATATTAAAAAAAACTAGAATTTTATCATCGTTACTTTATCTGAAAGGTACTATATCAGTTATAAAGTTTACACCTGTCATCATCATTATCAACTTGCCCTTATCCCTTACGGAGGATCGGCACAATTTGTGCTGCTCTTCCATACATTTCTATCAGCCGTCATATCTGAAACCACTCCTTTCTTAAGCATATCCTCTTTCACACAATCCATCCATACTTTCTGCGGTCTTCCTCTTCCATCCACATTCAATCTTAACACTTTCAGGTTTATGTCCCCATCATTTCGTCGCATAACATGTCCATACCACGCTAACCTTTTGCTTCTCAATTAAGTCAATAAAGTTTACACATGTATTGACATGTAATAAAACTGTTTTCAAAATTATAATAAGCTCCATCTTTTGGTATAAAATAAACCAAACAGTATCCAAAAATAAAATATATTGAAGATCTATGAACAAAAAGCTTTTTAGAAAAAAATGTTACAAGCGAAATGTCAATTTTTTTTTTAAAAATATCTGCATTGTAATTAAGGTTTTTCCAACCACTTTTTTGTTATTTTTCTTCTTCTCAAAGTGCCGTCTTCTTTCGAAGTTCTGCGATCATTAGGGCAACTTCTATTATTTTCTTAATGTAGTATACGGTATTTTTTTACATCTGATTTTAAACTTTTTACCTACTGCATTTTTCATGTCCCTACATAAAGGCCAGGAATTTAAACTGTCTAATAATGGCTATGGCTATTCTGTAGCAATTTTTAATATATCGTAAAGAGATTTTAGCGGTTAATCGCTAACCAACAATTGAAAAATAACAAACAAGAAGGACATAACAATCACGAAAGTCTAAAAAAATAATATAAACGATATTGACGAACTAGAAATCATACAAGCAGCTAAGAAGTTAAAATTAGAGAAGAGCCCAGGTCCAGACTATGTGACCAATGAAGCAATTAAACACGGCTGCGAAATACTGGCATCGCCTCTGGCCTATTTATTCAATTTAATTCTAAAAACTGCTAATACACCCACTCAATGGTCAGAATCCATTATAATTCTGCTCTATAAAAGAGCAAACCCCAATGACATCGGCAATTACAGGCCAATAAGCCTTCTACCAGCTGTCTACAAACTCTTTTCTTCCATAATTAATCGTAGAATATCTAAAACTTTAGAAAAGAGACAGTCCATTGAACAAGCTGGCTTTCGTAAGGGATACTCAACAATAGACCACATACACACTCTGGAACTTATCATTGAAAAGTACCAAGAAAACCGGAGACCGCTCTATATAGCCTTCATAGATTACCAGAAAGCATTCGACACAATCTCACACACAAGTATATGGGAAGCATTAAGTAAACAAGGAGTAGAAAGTGAGTACATACAAGTAATAAAAAACATATACAACAACAGCGTCAGTAAAGTCAAATTGGAAAATACTGGCCCCAAGTTCGACATCAATAGGGGAGTGAGGCAAGGGGACCCATTATCTCCACAACTATTTATTGCTGTATTAGAATCAATTACAAATCAATTAGACTGGAAAGAGTGCGGCTTATATATCAAGGGAGAATACCTAAGTCATCTAAGGTTTGCAGATGACTTGGTTCTGTTATCTGAATCCGGTGGTAACTTAGAGCGCATGATACAGTCATTACACAGTGCTAGTAGACAAGTAGGATTAGAAATAAATTTGACAAAAAC